GTGAGGAATTTGATGTTAGCACGTTGTTCTGCATTAGCACTCAGCATTATTCCGACGGAGCTCAGAAACACGATCCGCTTCTAACAATGGTCGCGGCCAGACTAACCGATGCACGTGAATGAAACTTTGTGTGACGGTAGAGGGAAGTCCAAGGGTCAATGCCCTACCCTCCTCTTCGTCAATGACGTGGCCGGAAATGAGTCATAAAAGTAATCCGGGTTCTTTATTGCCACACCTTGTACATAGTGAGAATGGACTAATACTATCTACTATGACTGACAAATGACACACCCGACTTCTTGTCAGAGAGGGCGCCCCACATGGACAGGACAGTAACTTTCATCTAAAAGGATATATCTGTTCATGAGCCCCACCCGGGGCTCAACACCAAGACAGACTGACTGACCGTCAGTCACGATGTGACTTTGACTTTGACATCAGTTATGATTATATAACAAAACTGTGCAGACGACAAGCAGAAGTCATACAAAATCATGAGAATGAACGTGTTCGTGGTATAGGACAAGGCGAAACCAGACACAGAAAATATAAGAGGCTTAAACTTGGTGGTGGACGGTCAATCATACAACCGTTCAAATTACTAAGTTGTCATTGTAGCACAAGATATGTAAGTTAAGCACAGTCTACTCTGTAAATCCTGTACTTACAGAGGACTTGTGTTTAGTGCAAGCGGAAGAATTTTCAATAACATGTTATATGTGCGAAATATACACTTGGTGAAAGTTTAAGTGCATTCATAAGAGACAAACCCAACTTTTCATCAGAGAGGATGTGACATAATGACTATTACCACAAGAGTTCAGTTGAAAAAAGAAAAAATCTCTGGTCGTGGGCCTCAAGGGGCCTGACGTCAAGATGAACTGATTGGCGGTAAAACCGCCAGTCATAAAGTAACTCTGACTCTGAGCAGTTCAGTTGAAGTGTAGCAGTCACCGAGAACACGTGACCGAGAGCAGCGAGAATTATGATAGTGATGAAGAAGCATCTAAGTGACAATAATTGGGACACTGTGAATAGTGTGGATAAAAGTGTACAATAAATATTCGGTACATCCAAGACCAGCGTGAAGTTATTTGTCATGTCACACAGCCAACACACGAGAGTATATTAAAAAAAATGTATACCCATAGATAAATTTTATGTAAGATCTGTATATACTTGTTCTGTTGGGTGTGCGTGTGTGTGTGTGTGTGTGAAATTTATATAAATGTTTTAGGGGGGAGGAGCATATTAAACTTTGGTAACCTCTGGAATACCACATTAAAGCTTGCTTTGGAATACATCCGAACGCACTAACAGTGATCCTCCTGTTCAAATATGTGTGTGTGTGTGTGTGTATGTATGCACACATCCACCTATACGTATAATTTAACATGTTTAAGATAGGATGGGGCGGTATGCATTGGATAGATGTGGCTCAGGATAGGGACCAGTGGAAAGCTCTTGTGAACATGCTAATGAACCTTCGGGTTCCATAAAATGTTGGGAAATTCTTGAGTAGCTGCAGAATTGATGGCTCCTCCAGAAGGGCTCAGCTCCATGAGTGAGTAAGTAAGTAAGATTTAAACAACACAATTAATTTGATGCTGAAACACGTTATCTTTCTTTTAACTTTAAAAGGTTTATTATTTTTTTATTGAAACTCTTAAGTCTTATGAGAATATTGTACAGTTTAGTCCAGGGAGGAGTTATTCTTGGAAAGATAAGTCACTTTGCTGGTCAAGAGAAACCTCCTCCCTTTTGTATCAAGTAAAACATTATCGTATTTATATTAGTCAATGGCACCGATCTTTTGTTTTATTAAATCCAGGCCATGCCCTTATATTCCATTTCAGATACATTTTAATTTTATCATTCCAAAAATCTAAGCCCTCCAGTGGTTGCTTGACTTCAAGCTTACCCACAAAAGAGAATACAGCGTTTCATCTATCACCCTTCATTTTTTACAGTGTAGATAATGAAAAGTTCAGTCCAGTGTAACATACGAGTCTACAACACTTCATTCATTCATTCATTTTTTCACTGTTATCATATTTCAGAAGAGTAGACTTCATGAACTTCATCGCTCTCATCTTCATTTCACTCCAGTGAACTGAAACTTAAATGTATGTGCTTTTGAGACTGTAGGAATTTAAGTTGATGGAACTTCATTCAGCTCTGCGGGTCACATGACCAATACATGTCATATCTGTTTACTCTTAACCAGACAGGGGCTTGTATGGCTCAGCAATCAGTAGCAAACAAATGCGGAATGCAATGACCTTTTGTAGTGTGGGGTGCAATTGATTTCCCTAGTCAGTTGGAAATGTTAGCACCTGCAATAACTCATAGCACTCTACTAACACACAGCATGCAACAGAGAGAAAACTGTGTCATGAGCAGCAAGCTGCAACTCACATACTGGTCCTTTAGTTCAAACCCGCCTCTACTGCTCTATGATGTAATACACCCATCACTACGTGCCACTCGATGTGTCTCCAGATGGCTCTGATGTGCAAACAACTTATTACACACCACACAGCTCTATGCCTGCTCACCACTATGTATGCGCAGATGCTTCCTCAGACTACTCCTATCACTGTATGATTTATTACACACATCACAGCAAAATGGCCGCTCACCACTATGTAGCCGTTGATGTACTTCCAGACGACTCCGCCGAATGAATGACTTATTACACACATCACAGCAAAATGGCCGTTCACCACTGTGTAGCTGTTGATGTGTCTTCAGATAGCTCCGACGACTAAATGACTTATTACACACGTTACAGCAGAACGGTCGCTCTCCACTATGTATGAGCAGGTGCCTCCTCAGATGACTCCAATAACTGAATGATTTATTACACCCATCACAGCAAAATGGCCGCTCACCACTATGTAGCTGTTGATGTACTTTCAGATTACCCCGCTGACTGAATGATTTATTACACAAGTTACAGCAAAACGGCCGCTCACCACTATGTATGTGCAGATGCTTCCTCAGATTACTCCGATTAACGAATGATTTATTACACACATCGCAGCAAAAGGGCCGCTCACCACTATGTATGCGCAGATGCGTCCTCAAATTACTCCTATCACTGTATGATTTATTACACACATTACAGCAAAATGGCCGCTCACCACTGTGTAGCTGTTGATGTACTTCCACATAATCCCGCCGACTGAATGACTTATTACACACATTACAGCAAAACGGCCTCTCACCACTGTGTATCTGATGATGTGCCTTCAAACCACCCAGTCGACTGAATGACTTATTACACACGTTACAGCAGAACGGCCGCTCTCCACTATGTATGAGCAGGTGCCTCCTCAGATTACCCTGATTAACAAATGATTTATTACACACATCGCAGCAAAATCGTCGCTCACAATTATGTAACTGTTGATGTACTTTCAGATTACCCCACTGACTGAATGATTTATTACACAAGTTACAGCAAAACGGCCCCTCACCATTACGTATGCACAGATGCTTCCTCAGATTACTCCTATCACTGTATGATTTATTACACACATCACAGCAAAATGGCCGCTCACCACTATGTAACCGTTGATGTTCTTCCAGATAATCCTGCCGACTGAATGACTTATTGCACACATCACAGCAAAATGGCCTCTCCCTATTATGTATGTGTTGATGTGTGTTGCACTGATGACCCCTCAGATTACACTGTTGAGTGAATGATTTATCACACTCATCACAGGAATATCGCCGCTCCGCACTCCATACAGGTTGAAGTTCGTTCACAGTACTCTGCGAAACAAAAGGAAATAACATGAAAAACCCTACCATGAGGAGAAATCACTTTGAAACTCATGACCACAGAGAGGTTAAATGGGTAGGAGTAGGAGGGCAGAGAGGGGGGAAGAGACAGAGAGAGCAGGGTTGTGTGCATTTGTAGGTGTCCGTTAGCATGTATGGGTGACTGAGTGAATACAAGTCAAGCTATACTACTACTGTATAATAAATTACAGAATTAAAAGGTATTATGCATTTTTCATCATCATGGTTCTAGATCACTTTGTTGGACTGTGGTTACTTCTTCATTTTCTTGAGCCTAATCACAGTCGGTAGGACCCCTTGGACAGGGGATCAGCCAATCGTAAGGCTGCTACCTACACAGGACAAACACAAATACGAATCTCTATAATGCTCTGGATAGCATATCAAAATGAAACAATAATAAATGCTAAATTTGATCTGTTTCATTCTGGTCCATCGCACTAACAAATTACAAAGACAAAACAACTCCGTCCAGTGACTACTGAAATTTTAAATACAACACAGCACGCCATGAACAAAGGACGATACCAAGAATCTCAAGATAAACAGGTGGCACAAGTTCAGCCCCCCTCAGGAAGGACGATAGGAAAAGGGACATGAAACTACTTGGTTTATAAATTTTAGCTTAAATGACAAAGTTTTAAAAACTTTAATATACCAAGAAAGCTGCTGTAGTTGTGGAAAAGTTGGATTTTGTATATATTGTGCGTTACAAACATTGTATCTATATGTATTTTAACACTCAAAACACCCATTGCGATAGTAGTTTCCAAAAAGTACCGACGTCCCTCTGATGATGGTCTACAGGGACCGAAACATGTAAGGGTGATAAGTTTTCAAGTAGTAAAAACTTCAGTAGTCACACTGGACACAGTTGTTTTGTCTTTGTAATAAATGCTAAGTTATGAAATGACTGTAAGACAGGCCCAGTGAAATCCTTCAAACAATATATTGTAACGTGTTTCATTACTGAATACGCCGTAGAGATGTTAATTGGTTTATTCAACAACCTAGAAGTAACGGCTACGATTAAGTATAACACAGTTGCGGGGTTTCACACTTTATAACCATAATCGCAATAATCTGTTTACACTGTTGCGGGGTTTCACAATTTATAACCCTATTCGCAAATCAATTCACTCTGTCTTCAGTAGTCTACACATTTACACAGCACGGGAGCCACACAAGTGCCATCGTGTTACACACTCCCAATTACACAACTACACACACGTCCGGATCTTCTTTCTGTGAACGCTGCTATACTCCAACTGTAGGCGGCTGACTGGAGAACTGTCTTCAGCGTTGATACACTTTAACTCTCTACAGGGATGACTACAAGTTAACTCGACTACAACTGAACTCGCCAACGGCCACATTACAACTCCCCTCGCAGGCAGTGCAGCTCTCTTATATAGTGGCTGTGTTTGTCTGTTACGTAGCAACGCTGTTGGAAGTTGGTTACGGGTACGTAGCAATTGCGGCGTTGCGCGTTATGTCACTGCGGGGAGGAGGGAGCGCTGACTCATCCGCCACGTCACTGTGGCCTGAGTTGCCACATTGCTGCTGGGTAGGGAGGGGTTTTCTGTTGCGCGACATGTCGCAATATATATAAAATGACTCAAAGAGAAGAATAGAACAGAGTCAGTTATATGGATATGGCCACACCCCCTATCATGAACAAATCCATGTTAGTCATCTCCTAGGATGCCACGTAATGTTCCCTGACCATGAAGAAGTTCCGCATTTGTCAGAACACGAGTGCTCCTTCTGTATCTGTAAAATTGTATTGTGCACACCTCACTGTGTAGAAGCATGAGTGGGGGCATGTTCCAACAGATGCATATGCTTCAGGCAACTGTGCCTGATTCAAAGGCATGTAAGCATAGTTTCCTCCTTCCTCATGTAAGTCAAGGACTGCCACACTGGAGCACATGGCTTCACTGACTCCAATTTGTTATCTGGCATGTTGATCCACATGACTCCAAATCCAAATGTGTCATTAGAATGACACACCTGAAGGCAGGAACACAGGCATCTCCTGAAGTGTCAAGTTTATTCAGTACACTTCACACAACTGGCAATGTCCAGCATGTCCGTATAATGTCATACATAAATCTTTGCAGAATCATTACTTATCCTCTCACAGATCCTCTATATAATGATACTTCTCTCTTATATAATGATATCTCTCTCTTATTGCATGGATACAGATTGCATCAATGTTTAAAAATATTACAATCTTCAACATTTACGGATGCTGGCAACCCTATGGTGTAGTAGTCACTGCACTAGATGGTCAAGGAGTATGTGGCAGATTTTTGGCCCTCTAGATTTTCTCTGAAATACGAGGGTAAGTCAATAAGTAAGTTACAAATGGATACAGAACTTAAACCAATGAGAGTACTGATTTGAAAATGCTTCTATTTCTCAATATAATCTCCCTGTACATTGAGACACTTGTCCCATCGTTTCACAATCCCCTGAAAACCAGCAGCATAACATTCTTTGGGCTGCTGTCGGAACCAGGCGGTGACATCCCTTTCTACAGCTTCATCGTCAGGAAAATGTTCAGCTGAAAGTTGATGTTTAAGAGGGCCAAACAAATGGAAGTCGCTTGCAGCAAGGTCGGGGCTATACGGACGATGCTTGAGAACTTCCCACTTGAAATTTCACAGCATCTCATTAGTCTTGTTGGCAGTATGGGGATGTACATTGCCATACAAGAGTAACACGCCTTTGATGAGAAGTCCTGGTTGCTTCTGATGAATGACCTCATGAATTTCCTCAGGATGTTACAGTAGGAGTCGGCATTTACTCTTGGTCCTTGAGGCTGCAATGCAGTGAGCAGTATGCCTTCATGATCCCAGTCACCGCCTGGTTCCGATAGCAGCCCAAAAGAAATTTATGCTGCTGGTTTTCAGGGGCTTGTGAAACGATGGGACAATTCCCTCAAAGTACAGGGAGATTATGCTGAGAAATAAAAGCATTTTTGAAATCAGTACTTATTTGTATAGGTTCTATATCCATTTGTAACTCACTTGACTTACCTACGTACTTTTCACATTATATAATACACTAAAAATTGTCTTAAACGGAATCTCTAGGGTCCAGAACACCTTTCTTCTGAAGGCAGGTTTCAATTTAATCAAGGTATACTATAATAATTAAACCAGGAAATGCACATATTTGAGACAAAATAAAACACCATACTCATTAATTTATTCACACTATAATCATTGAACACATGCAAATATTACACTGAGTAAAAGTAAAAGGTAATGGTATCCCTGTAACAGGCCATGGAGGTCCATAGGGTTGTGAGATGTTGAGGTTCCCACATTTTCTAGACAATCGGCTCATAGATGGCAGCAAGGTTGTCAGCCATGTGCGCAAGCCGTCCTTTACCCCCAAGAATATTCCTAGAACCCACTTCTGTTAGAGGCTGAGTCAACACCAGGGCCACAGTGTGGCTGGAAGGATTAGGTCAATTGAAAAAATCCAATGACCTCATCGGGACTTGAACCCATGACCTACCGGCTTGTAGCATAGTGCCTCAACCAACTACGCTACCGCATGCCCCAAACATCACACTGAAAAGGGAAAAAATTGAAGTAATCACTTTTTATAATTTTACCAGAGCTCAAGTAGAGTTTTTACTCTCTTGGCTGCCTAACTTTCCACAAACAATTTAGCTCGAGAAATTACAATAAGCACGTCTGAATTATTCTGTTGAATGGCATATTCCGGCAGTTCCTTTAAACTTTTGACAGCATCTAGATATGTCTTCACTCTAAACTTTTCATCTTTTTTCACAGTGTCATTTTCCTCTTCCTCCTCCTCCTCCCATCCCTTTCAGCTCTCTCTAAAATTCTGAACTAATGCATTAAAATGCATTTATATGATGCGCTTCTTCTGGTTTGCTGTATTTTGTGGGGTGTTATTATATTTTGTTGGGGTTGTGTCTGGTCCTATTTGCACATCTTCGTCAATGTTGATACAGTCCTCGGAATTACAGTTACTGAAAGCAGTTCCATTTGCGCAATTCTGTAAGTCCTGCTAGTCATTCTCATTTTCTACACTGGTAATAACTTCACCCATAGAAAATCCTGCTTTTTTTGAACACTTTGAAGCAGTTTCTGGTAACAACTTCTTTAATGCTTGACTGATCCAAAGAACCACATCTAGAACTGAGACAGTTCTTGAAAGTTCAGAGGCGGATGATGTAGGATCTATACTGGCGAGCAAAGATTGCATTAATTATTTACAATTGTGGACTTTAACATTCCGAATGATGCCCTGATCCACTGGATGAGAAACATTACTGGTGTTTGCAGGGAACCAAGCAGGTCGCACGTTGGAAAGTTCAATATGGGTGTGGCATATTGCATTATTCAACAACAAAAGAGCCGCTTTTGCATTTTCATTCTGTCACTGAAAGCCATTAACCATTCCTCCATGATCTTTGATGTTATCCAAGACTTTTTGTCAGATCTCCAATCAATGGGAAGTTTCTGTATGTCCATGTTTTGAAAGCATCGCAGCTTTCCTACCTTGCCGATCACTAAGGGTTTCTCCAATTCACCCGACATAAGAACCACTTAGAAAACAGTCAATCCATCTTTGCACAGTTTTCTTCCTGAACATTTTTCACCTTTCAGACATAGTGATTTATTTGGAAGCTCACAGAAGAACAGTCCAGTCTCATCGTCATTTGTGATGTTTTCAGACTCATATCTGTCAATTATGGATGGCAATTTAGCTCAATGGTCTCATTACTTACATCACTTGATTCACCGCAAAGTTCACAAAAACTATCAGATGGCTTCTGCAAAAACTCTCCAACCATCCATTAGATGCTTTCAATTTATTCTTTCAAAGTATTTCAGCGACATTTTTAGCATATTCCTGAACAATAGGAACCGACACAAGGTGATTTTTCGCCCTGACACTGACAAACCTCTCCCACACTATTTCATTAACATCTTCATTTGCAGCTCTCTTAAGTCCCTTTTCTATTTTCCATTAGTACAATTTTCCCACCACTTCAAAATTTCCATTTACCTCTTTAGAATCTCATACACTTGAGTTTCCCTGATGTTAAACATCTTCATGATCTGCTTAAAAAGTAAAAATAAGTAAAGGTATCCTTGTAACAGGCCGTGGAGGCCCAAAGGGTTGGGAGATATTGAGGTTCCCACATATTCTAGACAATCAGCTCACAGATGGTGGCAAGGCTGTCAGCCATACATGCCAGCCGCCCTTTACCTCCAAAAATATTCCAAGAACATTCATGGTACTCATTTCTGTTAGAGGCTGAGTTAATCCCAGGGCCATAGTGCAGCTGGAAGGATTAGGTCAATTGAAAAAATCCAATGACCTCATAAGTTATGAGGTGTTGAAGTGGATGGATGTCACTTCAGCAGAAATGAGAAAATTTTTTGCAATAATCTTTCTAATGGGCCATACAAGGAGGGATAATCTGAAAGAGTATTGGTCAACAGATCCATTTTTAGAAATTCCTATTTTCAGCAAACTAATGAGCCATAAGAGATTTGAGTAAATTTGGTGGTGTTTGCATTTCAATGATAATGAACTGCAACCACAATCAACAAGCAGGCTTTTCAAAATTCAGCCTTTATTGACCTTCTTCGTCCAGAAATTTCAGACAGTTTATACACCAAACCAACAATTGTCTTTGGACGAATCTGTGATTCCTTGGAGGGGAAGGCTTCATATGCAAACATATAATCCTGGGAAACTTACAAAGTATGGCCTACTTGTTCGTGTAGTTACTGAAAGCACTTCAGGCTATATTGGAAATCTAGAAATTTATTCTGCTGAAGGAAAGAAATTACAAGAAACTATTCTTTCTGTTTTTGAACCCTATCTTGATCAAAATTACCATGTCTATCAAGACAATTATTATAACAGTGTGGCAACTGCAGAACCCCTAATTTCGAGAAAAGTACGTGTTTGTGGAACAATTAGGGTGAACAGAGGCCTTCCTCCAGATCTGAAAGAGGAATGTAAATCCCTGAAACGTGGTGAAACCACATTCAGGAGGAAGGGGGATATTCTTCTTCAGTCCTGGAGGGATACTCGTGTTGTGAATATGATTTCCACAATTCACAATTCGAGCATGACTGATGTTCAAAGGAGACATGGACAGGTAAAGAAGCCTGTTTGTATTTCCGAGTATAACATGTTCATGAAGGGAGTTGATAAGAGCCGATCAGTACTCGGCCTATTATTATCTTCCTCAGAAAACAGTAAAGTGGACAAAGAAGTTTACCTTGTGGCTTATAAATTTTCAATTCATTTTTGGTTTTCAAAAATCTAAACCATAATTCATAATTGAAATACAAGGCATTTCTGCTGATTGTGGCAAAAGCCTAAGCTACAGACCACACGGTGGCGGCAGAACTGCGGCAGACACAGTTTTACTGCAACCGGGCCCATCTACTCCCACCCCACAAAGGCCTCATTTTGACCCCCCAGGCAACTCTCGGGTGATATGAAGAAACATACACTCTTGAAAATTGTGAAGAGTGAACATATCAAGGGGAAGCATCCTTCTAGGCAATGCCATGTTTGTGCAGTTCACAAGAAAAGGAGTATGACTGTCTACATTTGCAAGTTTGGTGTAATGCCACTTCACAGAGGGGAATGTTTCGAGAAATATCACACCCTCAAGCACTTCTAGGAGCATTGGTAAGTGATCTCAAACATTTATAGTTCATAAAATTAATTAGGAGATTTTATATTAATTTCTAAAGTGAACAGTGCACAAGTTACGCTAGTAAGTAAAAAAACAATTCCGGTCCCCAGGGTGATTTCTATATTTAAATTGCTGGTCCCCAAAGTGTTAAGACAAATTCCGTTTAATTAAGGGTCCGTTTAAGGCAGGTTTTACTGTACTGAATTTCAAGTATATTAGATATCCTTAGAGAAAACAGAAACAGTACACCACTAGTAACATTCAACAGAAAGCAATCATCCTGAGACATTTCAGAAAATGCTCTTCAAAATCCAGTGATCACAGTCGAGTTATTTCCTGTGTGCAGACAACAGATGAGATAGGAAAGAAAAACAGGTATCCCTCATTCCACAAAGGCAATTCACCCTACAAAAACTCTTCAAAGTGTGAGTTCCAGAGAGGACCCTCACCATTTTTACTGCTATGTTTTAGTCGTAAATGAGCATTGAAATAAAAACAGTAGTACCTGTTTAGGATATTTATTGGGAAATAAAACATTTGGTTTTAAAAACAATTATTCTCACAAAACAAAGCAGCTTCATTATCATGGCTGAACATATCTTCATACTGTCACACTTTTATGGAGTGTATCTATAGATGGGTTTCAAATCGATGGCTGGATTCAACTCTTTGGTACAATACATGTCTACATTTTACAGTTCACTATTATAGACACACTAGTGTCCACATTCACTTCGTCACTAGCCATTGCTTGGTAGCAGCTTCCAAAAGCAGACATACCCTTTCCTCTGGGCTCCTGAACTCTCCTTGGACTCAGCTACCAGGTTCTACCAGAAATAGCAAACAATGTCTGAACTACAACAGTCCTCTAAATCACTCATTAACTCACCAACTAACTAACTCCAACACAGTCAGAGTAAAGGTCAGAATCAGAGTCACTTTAAGGCTGGCAGTTTACCACCAATTACTTAGTCTTGGCACCAAGTCCCTTGAGACACATGAGCAGTATTTCCTTTTTCGAACTGAGCACTTGCAGTTATAGCCCTTATATAACATCCTCTCTGATAACAGGATTGCTCTGTCATTTACAATTGCTGCTGGCCCTTGCCAGAGCAGTCATTCTCAAGTCCGAGTCCTGCAGGACTCATGACCATATTTTAATGTCTCAGGTTCAAGACTTCCTAAACGTGGTAGGCCATGTCTCCATATTTATATCACCCATGAACAGGGTGGCCTAGTTATACCCCCAGACATTGGGTTCTCTTTTCATCACCTCTCATGATTCATAGGGCTATGGCGGAGGTAAGGTTAACTCCAACAGTTAACTAACCCTGTTTATAACATCTCGGCATGGACCATATGGGAAACGCTGTTCCTCAGGCCACGCCATAGCTCTAGCAGTTAGTCACTGGCTTCCCACTGCGGCGGCCTGGGTTCGATCCCGAGTCTGGTCAAGTGGGATTTGTGGTGGACAAAGTGGCGCTGAGGCGGGTTTTCTCCAAGTACTTTGGTTTCCCCTGCCAATTTTCATTCCACCAAATTCTCCATCATCATAATCACCTGGAGAAGGCTACAATAGGCCAATCAGTGGCCGCCGTGCCAAGTGGACCCAGCTGGACTCCACCCCCAACTATGCGAATTTAAATTTAAGAAGAATGAAACACTGTTTCTCTGTTGCACTGCAACTCCTCCTGTGGAAACATGCTTCTTTGCAGAGCTGTTACTTATCAATGGCTGCTGTATAGTTGCTTATTTTGCAGTTCTAGCCTTGCAACAGATCCATATGCCATAATATTATTGTCCTCCTCAAATTCTTTCTATGCTTTCCACCTTTTCAGACAAACTTACCACTTTCCTTACTTTGTTTGACTCATGGTAAATGAATTGTTCTTAAAATGAGGGATACCTATATTTGTGTAAATCACTTAACATGGACACAGAGACACAGCTCACCTCACGTTCAGCCTTTATTCTTTGAAATGTTATTGGCACAGGATACTTCTCTTCTTCTGCATCTGACACTTCCTCAGCTTTTACACTGTTGGCCTGACATGCATCATGAGAAGATGCTGGATGTATCTCACTACACAGACTTTGTACTTCCTCTGAATATGCAAGGTTCTGGAAAACAAATAATGCTATATATCTGTCATGACTACACATTCACATCCCACGCAACAAATTCTGGAAAGATCTAATCACCCGTTTTTCTCTGATATCACATGAACCACATAAGAAGCAACACATCCAATAACTATTCTAATCTTTAATGCGAGTTCACTGTAACAAGAACGTGTTTACCAATGTCACTTTAACCTAGCAACAGAGCCGTTGCCTAGCAATTATAGGGACGATATACACACAGACACACAAGGAAAGTAGGCTAACAACAGATGAACTACTGGAGGCAATGTTTTCTCTACAGTCCAGAAGAGGACAACTCCTGGCCAGGACGATGGTTAGAAGACAGTTGTAGCATACAGAAAATGAGGAGTTTGAAGATCTAATTGCCGAGTGGATCTCTAAGATTGGCCATCACCAAGGTGCTTGTCTCACTGCACTATACTGACTTACAGGCATCACGTCACAAGGAGTGATGCACAAACTTACAAACACATAGACAACATACAGACAGCAAGATGATCCGAAAACAAGGAATGTACACAAAAGCTCAGTAAACACATTCCCAGAGAAAAGAATACAAGACAACAAGAGAAGAACTGCTAGGCACAGTGTTTTCTACGTGGCCTGCATATAACCTGTCCACCAAGCCATTGCCTATCAACATCCGTCTCTTTATCACTCCACTATTCCAACTATCGGGCCTCAAGTCACACTGCATTCCAATGCTGTTGGATGCAGTCTTTTCCACAGGGTCCAGGTCATATCAAACACTCAAAATATAGTGAAAAGAAGGTGGTTAATTTTCCACATAACTTCCCTTTGCAGTCTTTACATATGTGCACCCCTTATCACTGCTACATAATGGAGACTCCTCTTTAAGGAGAGGAGGCATCAGGGAATATTTCAGGTTGACTCATTATCACCACTACTTTTTTGCATAGCACTTATTCCGCTAACTCATGAATTAAACAGATCTGGATGTGGATACCAGGTGCATGGATTTGAAAGGAAAATAGGTCACTTGTTGTATATGGATGACTTGAAACTGTTAGGAAAAAGTGAGGAAGAATTGAGGGACGAGATTAAAATTGTAAAAACATTCAGTAGTGATATAAAAATGGAGTTTGGATTAGAAAAATGTGCATGTAGAAGAGCATGTAGAAAACACAAGGGAGAATGAAATTAAAGAACTAGAAACAAATGGAGCATATAAG